CATTTTTAAAAAGGATAATCCAGAACTCTTTTCGCAGAGCTAAGCTTGCTGGCGAATCTCTAGCATCAGACCCTTCTGGGAGTGTCTGGTGACTGGCCCCCGTTTACTCACTGCGGTTCCCTCTGCTGACCACTACAGGAAATGATGGTGACATCAGGGGCTGGCAGATGGGACCAAGCATCTATCACAGGGGTCCTCAAACTATGGCCCGCGGGCCACATGCGGCCCACCGAGCACATTCATCTGGCCCGCCGGCAGGGGACACTAAGTACAGGGGTGGGCAGGGGGCTGCTGTCTCTTACCTGGCTCCGGTCCCAGGACGATCCAGTCCAGGATGCGCAGCTCCTTCACTCCAGGCCGCTCCCTCACTCGATGTCCGTGCTGCCACTCAGCTCTGCCTCCTCACCGGTGATTGGGCGCCAGTACTGTAGCTCAGGAAAGGCACACAGGCGGCCAATCACTGGCGAGGAGGCGGAGCCGAGCGGCCCTGCGAAAATCAAGGGAGGAAGAGGCCGAAGTGAAGGAAGGCGGACAGCTGACCGCCCAGTAAGTGTGCCGTGCAGATGGTACTGCTGCAACCAGGTATGCTGGCTGCAGGAGCACCATGATGGAACAGGGGTCAGCTAGTTAAGTGTCATTGCTGTCAGTGGGAAGAATAGTGCCCCATTATTGGTGTCACTGATAATGATGGGGCACTATTCCTCCCACTGACACCAATGATGGGGCACTATTCCTCCCACTGACACCAATGATGGGGCACTATTCCTCCCACTGACACCAATGATGGGGCACTATTCCTCCCACTGACACCAATGATGGGGCACTATTCCTCCCACTGACACCAATGATGGGGCACTATTCCTCCCACTGACACCAATGATGGGGCACTATTCCTCCCACTGACACCAATGATGGGGCACTATTCCTCCCACTGACACCAAAGATGGACTATAGTCCAGCCCTCCAACGGTCTGAGGGACAGTGAACTGGCCCCCTGTTTAAAAAGTTTGAGGACCCCTGATCTATCACATCCGGAGGTCTGTCAGATGCAGAAGATTTATAGCCAATGTAGCTCTGCAGCAGAATGCATGATCGGTGGCAGACATGCTATAATGGTAAACACAATGTGTATACATCTAGTAAACATCAGTTTAAAAGAAATCTAAAACATCAGCCTTATAAAATATAACAATATAGTTTCCCTGTAAGAAGTAAACTTGGTTGTATGTTACAGGCATTTCTGTTTTATCCTGTGCGTGTTACCTTCCCTAATAAGGGCTTGTTCACACATATGGGTGGCTGAGCTGTGTTTTTTAGCACCCCCCTGACCACCTCCCTTAAGCTGCAAAGGCTGCATCCCCTCCATCCCATATTAGATTCTGCCAACTGCAACCTGTTCAGAGCGAGTGGAGCTATTCTGCAACTGCATATTTCATGTGTTTTGCAATGTGGTGGTGCAGCATTTATAGGGTTAATACAGGCGGTGAGGAGCAGCCATATATAGCCACCTGTCAAGCACCTCTGAAAAGCGATCCATCTTTTCAGAGGTGCAGCAGTCTTGGCCACATGTCTAAATCTTTCCTTATTAAAATCCTGGTATGTTTTTTCCCTGTGACTTTTTTCTAATTTTCTTTTATAAATCTGTAGATATCCGTTTCATTTTTGTGCTGCTCAACATATTTGAAGGCTACAGTTGTAACATTCCAGTTGTTGGTCAGATTTCCATGGTGTAGAAATAGTATATAATGGTGAAATATACAGATCTAATCCATGAAATAGGCACCAATAAGTTTTTAGAGTGCAGTCATAGTTGCTTTTTAATTCACGTTTATGTGTATATTGGTTTAGCTTTGTTTTCCTGCTTTGTGAATCTGATTGCCATTTGCAGTGATAAGGAATCTGATAAACGGATTGAAAAACATTTCATTATTCATCTATTGAAAGGCTTCGCCCCTTGGTGATCACGTGACTTGTGGTTATGAAACAAGGCACTTGTGATGTCATGAGTTACACAACTAGCATTGCATACTGAACTGTTATGGAACGGGTAGAGGGGGAGGGAGCAACCAGTGCTGCTGTGTGTTTGTCAGGGGTGGTAAAACCGTTCTTGGTAGTACACGTCAGTGCCTTCTGCTGAAATGTGCAAGCTTTCTTCAGGATAATGCAGTGCTACAACTTACAATATGAGATCAGAAGAAAGTCTTAAAGCTGACACCTTACTGGTTTCATTTTCCGTATATCAGGTGAATACAGTCGGATTTTTCAAAAGTGTGTGTGTGTGTGTGTGTGTGTGTGTGTGTGTGTGTGTGCGCCATTAAAGCAAATGCTTGTTAAACTTTTTTTATACTTCTGTGAATTGCTTATTGAATTTATATACATTTCACCTTGCAGATCCTAATGATTTGATACTGCGTGTTTACAGAGCGGAGTCCTTTGCTGCACTGTTTGAATTTGGGAGAGCTCTTGAGGATCTGGACTTTGTCCTTTCAAAACGGCATAACTGGCCAGAGGTGACTACAGTAATTATTTTGATTTATTTAATCCCATTTAATAGGGAGACTGAAAGTGGAATTCGTCTCCAACTAATTAAGACCAAAATGGCTTCCACCCCCTTCTAATTCCTATACTAACTACCCTGTAGAAGGAAGAAGATGCTTATACTTGCCTAGTCTCAGGGTTCTCTAGTCTGGTCACATGATTGGCTCCTAGTGGTGGCTCATGGGAGAGGAAAGACCCTAACATGCCCTATAGTAAGTCTATAGGTGACATCACTGCCCAGGCATTCCATCCGTTGATGCTTTCTCCTCTCCCCTGAAGCCAGCTGCAGGGGAAATCACATGACCAGACTAGAGCGCACTGCACTAATAATAGGTAAGATTAAACCTCTTCCTGGTACAGGGTAGCTAGAATTGGATTTCTGGGGGCAGTAGGGTTTAGACTTGGTTAGTTAGAGCCTGGAATTCCACTTTAAAGGAGATGTATGGGGTAATAAAAAGCAAACACACTCGCCCCCCCCCCCCCCATGCTGCAGCATTGGTGTGATGCTGCAGCTGTTCTACCCCCCCCCCCCCCCCCCCCCCCCCCCCCAGCTCTGAACCCAAGAATTGAGCTGATCACTTGGCTCTCGGAGCAGAAAGCAGTGACAGTCAGTGTGCAGACTGCTACACTAATAAAAAAAACAAAAAAACAAAAACAGGATGATGCAAACACCTAGTGCATTACCAGCCCCCGGCCATGTTTACAGCTTCCCACAGGCAACAGTCTTGACCCCAATGTGGGTTTATTACTGTAAGCATATATTTCTATACTTTATTTTTTAATCCATTACTTAGTTTTTTCTGTATAACCTTTTTTTTATATACATTTTAGTGCCTGACATGCGGACTACACCAGACCTAATAGAGGTTTTCCATTCCCGGTGGAACCTATGGATATCCATTTCTGGCATTGGTAGTACTCTGAGCACTGCGAGTGACAGTTTTTTTTATGTTTTTTTGGGACTGCTACACTGTCAGAACAACCCCCTGGATGCGGGGGCCAGGTTGGGGGGTGGCCAGGATATTTTGGATTTTTTAACCTTTTCATTTTCGTGAATAGGTGAACTTCCCTTCTTTTTTTTTTTTTTTTTTTTTTTTTTGTTCCCCAATCTAAAAGTCACCCATTCCCAGAAGCAGTCTGAGTGACCCCCAAGGCTCTGGTATTGGATTATTTAATGGAAGTACATGACTTAGTACTATGTTGAAGCAGAATTTGAGTACCATGTAGACCGTGCACTTGGGTTTGGAGAGCTCTCGGGGTGCGCTAAGTAATTTGGGGATTTTTGCTTAGTAGTATTAAGGTAATCTGGCAGCTTCAGAATGGCTACATATTCCTTTTCAGTAAGCCTTCGCTCGACACATTCACAGTGCAAAGCATAAATTAGTTTATATTAGGTAATGTTTTAAGTGAAAACCTCTTCTGTCAAACATGCTTCAGGAGATATTTAATTTTTTTTTTTTTTTTAGGTGCACTACCGAAAAGCCAAAATACTTCAGGACACTGGAAATTTGTACGAATCATTAAGATGTTACCTTCAGTGCTTGGGACTAGATGAGGAGTTTCTCTCTGCTAGAACAGAAATAGAAAAGGTACCTGACTGTTGGTTTGTTTTTTATTCTATTTACAGGGAAATGCCAGAAAGTTTTCATATGGTGGTTTCCTGAGTAGATTTAATTTAACCTATTTTAAGTTTAAACTGGGTCTTTATGCCTGGGGGGGGGGGGGGGGGGGGGGGCAGACTTCCCGATTGTGACCTTTTGTGATTGGATTTTACAGTGGTCACTTGATAGGGAGTGTGTTCTGCTGGCTCCCATTCATGGCTAGGGACCTAGAGCTGCCACTGACAGCTCATTCACAGTGCTGGAAGTGTGCAGTGTGAGCATGCTTGCAGCACAGAAACCCTCTCCGTCCATGTGCAGACATTAAAGCCCACCCTCTTTGTTGCCACACATGTGTTCTATGGGCAGCAGGAGGATCATGGATGCATTGTGGATCAATAATAATAAGCTGAATGGTTGGGATACACTATTACACACAAACTGAGTTTGGTGCTGTATCCTAAGAAAAAATAAAAAAGTTAAACTTCAGCTTCCTGTTTAAAAAAAAAAAAAAAAAAAAAAAAAAAAAAAGTGCTTTAACCACTTGTCCTCCAGACGATTTTTTTTTTTTTTATCCTGACGAGGCCATTTTTTGCGATACAGCACTGTTACTTTTGCTCATAATTGCGTGATCATGTAACGCTGTACATAAATTACATTTTCTCTTTCCCCCCCACAAATAGAGCTTTCTTTGGGTGGTATTTGATCACCTCTGCATTTGTTTTTTTACGCTATAAAAAAAACCCACCAATTTTGAGAGACAATATTTTTGACTTTTTGCTATTAAATAAACATGTCCAGTAAACAATCAAATTTCGTCAAATTTAGGCCGAAATGTATTCTGACACATGTCTTTGCTAAAAGAAAATCCCAATATGTGTAAAATTGGTTTATGTTAAAGTTATACGACTTATAGCTGGACTGCGGCGGGTATTCTGACACTGGGGGAGAACTGACTAACTGTCACTGACATCCCCAGTGACACCAGTACAGTGATCAGTTCTAATAAAAAGCACTGACACTGTACTAATTAAATTGGGCAGGAAGGGATTAACATCTGGGGCAGTCAAAGGGTTAACTGTTTTGCTGTGTATGCTTTACATGGCTCTGCTATGCAGAGCCACACAAAGCAGTGTGCAGGAGCTTACAGGGGAGATCTGTATTTTATGTGATTTTGCGCACCCCCTGCCGCCCTGTAGCAGTATTTCTGCTATAGGGCGGCAGGAAAGCGGTTAAAGAGAACTATAAATAGAAGATGGAAAAAAATTATCTTCCAGAGCAGCTTTAACACCTCCTGCCTGGCCTATAGCAGATTGATGGCCGGGCGGGACACTCACCGTTGTGACTGGTTGTCATATAACGTCCTGTCAAAACGAGCCGCTCACGTGGCCGCAGGGCTGTGCAGCGGCACGATCAGTCACCGGCTGTGTCCACAGGATACAGCCGATGACCTATCACTACACTGGCACGTTGCCAGTGTCATGTGACTGCTGTGACCAATCACAGCAGATCACATGTCAGTTGTATACAATGGATGGCTTACTGTCATGCCATCCATTGTATACAATTATGTTAGCGGTGACTGGTCAAGGCAGTTACATGATACAGACAGGGCCAATTACAGCCCATCTGTATCATGTGATCAGCTTTGCCCAATCACAGCTTATCACAACAATAGTCTGAATAATCCGTTTCATTCAGTAATAATTGCAAATATCAATTAATTACATTTTGTATTAGCAATCATAATGTGTTTAAAAAAAAAATCATGATCACTTGCCCAGAGTAGATCAATGTTACTATGGTAACACTGTATTGCTTTGGTCATAGTGTGCTGAAAAATAAAATCGTATTCAGTGTTGCTTGACTGTGCAATTGTCATTCACAGTGTGACAGCGCTGAAAGCTGTAAATTGGCCTGGGCAGGAAGAGGGTATAAGTGCCTGGTATTAAAGTGATTAATAAAAAAAATTAAAATATGAATTGGGCTTTTATATTTATATACTGTTCTCTATGCAGATTCTGCTTGACTTCCTCTCACCTGGACAAGAGACAGTTGAAGGTATACTGAAGGATCTTGAAATGACATCTGTGCCAAATTTACCTTTGAAACCTTTTGTGTTGGGATCAGACAAGTGTGAAACTACATATCAGATGCAGCCAAGTCTGCAGCAGGTAATACGAATTGTCTTTTTCCTGTATCACAAATACTCCCAATAGCAGTAATTTTAGTTCATACTTGGCATCTCCTATAAGTAAAAGTGTGCACCTCTTATGAAAATCCCAGATTCTCCTTAATTTTGATATGACCAGTCTGCATTAGATCTTAGCACTTACCCTCCCTTCCTTCTCTGGCTTTCTGGTTGCTCTGTCCTCCTCCTTCTTCTTCTTCTTCTCTTTTTTTTTTTTTTTTTTTTTTTTTTTTTTTTTTTTTGGGGAGGGGGCAGTGGGGCACACATTGTTTTGGCACAGAGATTATTGGATAGAGATTATTGGATAATGTTGCATGCTTGACATTACGAAGCTCATTAAAAAGAGGATTTAATATAGCTTTAAGTCAAAGGATCTATTTTTTGTTATTTTCAGGATGAGGCTACAGAAAGAACTGTGAAGCGCACCAGCACATCCAGTAGCAGTTTACACCGTGCACAGTCTGTGCATGTCCTGCACTATGATGAAACTGCCAGCGATGAGGGCTTAAAAAGGGTGTCTTCAGAGCCTCTATTGTCCAGTGGGGAGAATGGTATATTACTTAAAAGAAAGTTCTCCCTTTCTGAGCAAGACACAAATGTGTGTGAAGATGGTCCAAAGAAGTACATAAAGCAGGGAGGTAAGAACCTGGATATCTCGACCAAGACCATTTAATGTGGATCAGAAAAGTCAGTGTAAAGTCAGGACATATTTGTATGTGTTCAGGTATTGAAACAAGGATCAACATGGCAGCCAAGCAGCTAGCATTTACTAAATGACACCTGAAAGGTGGATATTATTATACAGTATTTATATAGCGCCAAAAGGTTTGCTCAGCGCTGTACATTGTAGTGGGGGACAGTAACATGTTACAATACAGTAACAAAACAATACACGAGGGGTTCGAGGGCCCTGCTCTTTCGAGCTTACAATCTAGGAGGGAGGGGATAGAGGTACAGGAGAAAGTGGGCTGTGGGTGATGGAGTGGTAGGAGGAGTAGAGAGGAGATCAGCTGTTAGGTGAGGGTGGGGTAGGCTTCCCTGAAGAGATGGGTTTTCAGGGTGCGCCTGAAGGTGAGGCGGGTAGGTGACAGTATGATGGATTGGGGTAGTGAGTTCCAGAGGATGGGGGAAGTCCTGCAGTCGGGCGTGGGGAGGAGGAGACCAGGGAGCTAGAAAGTAGGAGGTAGTATTTGGGTATCAGGTTGGTGAGGTAGTTTGGATGGCAGCGTTATGAATGGCTTTGTATGTCAATGTTAGTAGTTTTAATTTAATGCGTTGGGCAATCAGAAGCCAGTGGAGGGAATGGCAGAGGGGGGTGACAGAAGTGGAGCGGTTGGTGAGGTGGATGAGCCTGGCTGCTGAGTTCAGGATGGACTGAAGCGGAGATAGCCTGTGTTGGGGTAGGCCGGTGAGAAGGGAGTTGCAGTAGTCTAGGCGTGAGATAATAAGGGAGTGAACGAGTTGTTTAGTAGTGTCTGGGGTTAGGAACGTACGTATCTTGGAGATGTTGCGGAGGTGGAGCCTGCATGAAGTTGCCAGCGATTGGACATGAGGTTGGAAGGATAGGTTTGAGTCAAGGGTGACACATAGGACTTTGGCTTGCGGGGTGGGATTGATAGTAGCGTTGTTGGTCGTGATGGAGAGGAGGGGGGGGGGGGCGCGGGCTGGGGTGGAAAACTAGGAGTTCGGTTTTGGAAAGGTTCAATTTGAGGAAATGGAGTGACATCCAATCTGTCGTTCAGCAGGTGGGTGATACGGGCGGAGACTGAAGTGGTGAGGTGAGGGGTGGAGAGGTAAACTTGTGTGTCGTCGGCGTAGAAGTGATAGTTGAAGCCGTGGGAATGTATTAGTTTGCCAAGGGAGGAGGTGTAGATGAGAAAAAGGGGCTCGAGGACAGAGCCTTGGGAGACCCTGACAGAGGGGGAGGTGGTAGCGTTCTAGGTAACGCTGAAGGAGAGTTGGGATAGATGGGAAGAAAGCCAGGAGAGTGCAGAGTCTCTGAGGCCAAGGGAGTGTAGTTTATTAAGGGGAGGAGGGGGGTGGTCAACTGTGTCGAAGGCCGCAGAGAGGTCGAGTAGTAGGAGGACTGAGTAGTGGCCATTAGCTTTGGCGGTTAGCAGGTCATTAGTGATTTTGAGTAGGGCGGTTTCGGTGGGAGTGTGTAGGGGACGGAAGCCAGACTGTAGTGGATCAAGGAGGTTGTTGTCGGTGAGGTGGTAGCTTAGGCGTTTGTAGACGAAGCGCTCAAGTAGCTTGGATGTGAATGGCAGCAGGGAGATGGGTCTAAGGTTGTTCAGGTCGGTGGGGTCCAGGGAGGGTTTTTTGAGTATGGGGGTGATGTACGCGTGCTTTAGGGGGGAGGAGAATGCGCCAGTAGAGAGGGAGAGATTGAAAATGTGGGTGAGGGAGCGTAGGATGGAGGAGGAGGGTGACCGGAGGAGTTGAGTGGGGACAGGGTCAAGGGGACAAGTTAGTGACCTCAGTGGTAGCAGGGCTGAAGGAGCAGAGTGTTGGGGAGGTTATAGTGTGCAGGATGTCAGGTGTGGTGGGGGACAGGGCAGTTGCGAGGTCATAGGAGGGGAGAGTTGATGGGGTAATGGTGGGAGGGAGGCTAGGTGGGGAGGTAAATTGGGTATTGGCAACGTCCTTACGGATTGCGTCAATCTTGTTTTGGAAGTGATTGGCAATCTCGTGAGTGGAAGTACTGGGTGGGGGGGGGGGGGGGGGGGGGGGGGTCGAGAGGGGGGGGGACGAGGGGGGGGGGGGGTGGGGGTTATTGGGGGGGGGGGGGAAGAGAGTAGGGAGTTGAAAGTGGAGTAGAGCCGGCGAGGGGGGACAGGTGGAGAGGGTGTTAATGAGGGTTACGAAGTAGGCTTGCTTGGCAGCAGGAGGTGTAGGTGAGGAAGGCGGATTTGTAGAGGGAGGACGCTCGAGCGGATCTGGTTTTTGCACCATAATCGCTCCAGCACGCGACTGCGTCATTTAAGATTTTTAGTGTGGTTGTTCTGCCAGGGTTGAAGTGGTCGGGGTCTAATGCCACGTGTGGATAGGGGTGCTAAGGAGTCTAGGGCAGCTGACAGCGAGTCATTGTACGCAGTAGTGGCCAGGTCAGGGCATGACAGTGGAAGGGTACTGGGTTTGATGCTGATAAATTTTATTTTTCAGTTCAGAGAATGATGGCGTTATTACATTTCCACTAAGATAAATGGGATTTCCAACTTTTGAAAAGCAAAATTTTTGCCTTAAATTTGATAGCCATTTTCTTTAACAAAAGAATGTACAAGCCCAATATAATACTCCAAATTGAGAGCTCTGTCACTACCTACAAATTTGACACTTTTCTTTTTTTTACCTTGCAACATGGCCTTTCCCTTCTCCTATCAAATTTTTTTTTTTTTTTTTTTTTTTTTATAGCATGTCTGCTGTGTGCTCACCCAGAGGCCTTATATCAGACCTATACTGCTCTTTCTTAGAGACTTGCTATGCTGCTTTACCCCCATACAGAACTAAATGGGAAGTAGACTGTAATATACAATTTTCTGCTGAAGACTGGGACACCATGTTGAAGAATATGCACAAAAGCACTTATCCCTAACTGCAAGGGATTACCACCTACAAAGTACTTACCTGATTGTACTATACCCCTTCCAGACTTCATGCTATCATCCCTGGAGTCTTGGATCTCTGTTTTCAGGGTTGCAATCTCATTGGTACCATCACACATGTATTTTGGGAGTGCATCCATCTTTCCAGTGTGGAGAAAAATCTCAGAGATTGACTCAGCATTGGTGGATTCACATGTTGACCTATCTAAGCAGACATGCTTGATTGGCTCCCCCATTCCGGGTGTCTCAGCTGGTAGGACAAGATTGATTCACACAATATGTGTATCTACTATTTGGGCAATAGCTCTACACTGGAGGTCTGCTGCTGTCCTCTGTATTGAGAACTGATATGGTTATGCTTATGCAATGTATACATTATACCTTGCAAGATAGGATGCATCTGTTTAACTGCAAATGAGATGACTGGAAACAGCGTCATATATTGTTGGACTAACATATTTATTTTTACTGTAATTATTCCACCTTCTGAAACTATATCTAGCCAACTTATTGTGTGCTTCTTGTTAGTGTTATGTTTTGGGTTTTTTTTTTTTTTCCTCTTGTATAGTGTAAAATTCTCGATTTTATTTTCTTTGTACCCTTGACTATATTCACATGATGTATAACTCGATATTTATTTTTTGTTCAAGAAAACGTTTGTAAACAAAAAAAAAAACAACATACATTCCACATAATAGTTTTTATGCTAACAAAATTAATTTGTGCTGTAAATTGCCTCCACCATTGCTCCTGTTTCTTCTTGCTGGTGGCTGCCATTTTGTTAAAGCCCAGAACCGTCCCTCTCTCAATGGAAACTCTCCCCTCCTCCATGATCTCAAAAACTGTCACTTTCTGTAATTAAAGTGATAGTAAACTGCAAAAAAGAGCATAATGTGCTAGTATGTGAGTATTAAAGACTTGCCTTTAAAACAAAACAGTCTAGCAGCAAGCTGTCACCACTGATGGTGTTTCCATCTTTCCCCGGGCTTCCATCCGTTTAGTTGGCTCTGGCCGAGCCATGATGGTGGAGTCACAGCTGCAGCACAGCTCTCCCAATGGACACCATGCCGTCAGGGTGCATGTGCTGATTAAGTCACGGGCTGCTACTAAAGTAAATATCTCCTAAACGGTGCATATTTAGGAGATATGTACTGTACTTACAGGTAAGCCTTATTGTAGGCATAAATCAATAAAAGGACTTTGCTACTGCTTTAAAATATGTACATTTCCAGCCTTGATTGTGTGTCTGGGCTCAGAGGAAGCTTGACTGAAGCTGAAGTTCACAGCCTGTCATGAGGAGCAAAGGAGAATATTAGGGAGATGAGATCAGACCCTATCCTTGTAACTTTTTTTTTTTTTTTTTTGTGTGTATCTCCCTGCCAGCAGAGTTTGCCTGTGACCTGTCCTGCCATTTTCTCCTTCCCTAATTTGTGCTCCTTCCACACAGTCTGTCATTCCTGTTGCTTTCTTCTCCCCTTCAGCAGCAGTAAATCTTAAAGCTGTCAGCTGATCAGCCTCTAGTAGCTCTGGTTTTATGCACCGTGATGGGAATCGAGAGCAACGGAGTGTGTGCAGAGCTGGGTGAGACAGTGGGGGAGATTTACTAAAACTGGTGCAGGTGTGCATAGTGATCACCTTTTTTTTCTTTGACATAGTGAGCGGTAATTTTAAAAAAAATTAAATTATTGTATCATAATGCATTGTAAAGATGTGGTGTAATTTAAAAAAAAATATTTATTTATTCCTCCCTCTCTAGAAATGTCCAATTCCGATCCAGCCATTTCATTAGTAGACAACACTATCCTATATGCCTTGATTGATGGAAGTGATTTTGAATGCTCTCTTTGTATGAGGTTAGTAACATAAAGATTTGTTTATCTTTACACAAGGGATATGATGTTGGACAACCTCAATTATGTCTCTGCATCAGTTGATTATTGCATGTGAATGTATTGACATACTGTTATCTCTTACAATGTGCTTTCAGGTTGTTTTATGAACCTGTTACTACGCCTTGTGGACATTCCTTCTGTAAAAAGTGTTTGGAGCGCTGCCTGGATCACACACCTCAGTGTCCTTTATGTAAGCAGAGCTTGACAGAGGTGAGCGATTCAATGGGACATATTGTTTCCTCATGTAGTTCTGTCTTGTGGTATAAATAATGTAATCCTATTAAAAATGGTCTTTTTTTTTTTTTTTTTTTTTTTTCTCTCGCCACAGTATCTAGCATGTAGAAGCATCAATGTAACCTATTTGCTGGAGGAATTGATCAAGCAGTATCTTCCTGAACAGTTGTCAGAGAGAAAAAGAATTCATGAAGAAGAAACACTTGAACTATCAAAGTAAATATCTTATATATCTTTTAAACTGTGAGCATGCAAAATCATGTATAAAAACAGCAAAGTATTTCTGTGGAGACCATGGGACATTAGAGGGATGTCTGATTACCCTTAGCATGTCCCTCATCCATTCTTAAGTGACTACTTGGTTCTGACATGACCTTGCAGTGGTGCCTGACTGGTTTAACTTTCCCTGAGAACTAGCTAGTGGAGGTTGCCATTTCCATTGGCAAGAAGTACTTCCTGAACTGGGTATTAATCTTGGGCCCCTTTCATACAGGCTGGATCTGTTTTTTCTCAGCAGAGGAGGATCTGTCCGCTGATCACCTGCTGAGCTGACTGGAGCGGGCAGATGACAGGTCCATGTCTGCTCAGCTTATGCAGAGTGGACACTGACATAGCCTAATCTGCTCTTCAGGCAGTCAGATGTAAACAGACTGCCTGTCTGTTTACACCTGACTGCCCTCAAATCCGGACAGACTGAGTGGAATGGGTCCCCTTCAGTTTGTTTTTGCCATATGGGATCGTATTGGAGTTAGGTGGGTGTAAACAGACACAAGTCCATTTCCGTAGAGGTGAATGGAGGGTCTGGTCTGCCTGAAACATGGACAGGTGGACCTGATTGGACTGCTTGTGTGAAAGGGACCTTAAAGGGAAACTTCATCCAAAAGAGGAAGTTCAGCTTTTTCTTAACACACACTTGGCACTTTTTTTTTGGGGGGGGGGGGGCAGTACTCTGTTTTGACTGAGCTGGACCTGTAGCTGCTGACTTTTAATTTTTGGGAGAGCCTGGAGCTCTGCTTTTAAGTGTTTTTTGTGTTTTAGCAAAGTTTAAAATGATCCATTTTTTTTTTTTTTTTTTTTTTTTTTTTAATCTTTTCAGCCCATTTCCTTTAGACCTGTTCACTATTTCAGTTATCAACAGTTGGTTTATGCATTTGTGCAGTTTGTTTTGACCTGTTATTGGACAGCTTATAATGCTGCATTAAATTTCATTTTCTTTCTCCCTTTAGTTTAACTCAGAATGTGCCTATGTTTGTATGCACAATGGCATATCCTACTGTGCCTTGCCCGCTGCATGTTTTTGAACCTCGGTATCGGTTGATGATTCGAAGGTGTATGGAAACTGGTACAAGGCAATTTGGAATGTGTATCAGTGATTCAGAAAAAGGGTATGCAACTTCTGTTATCTTCATACATAAAATATGAATAACTTTAAACTTGTAAGGCAGAAAGTACATTCAGCACTTTGTGCTGAATTGTGATCTCTGTTCTGCATACGTGATTAGATTTTAATCTGGTGTGTGAGTGGCAAAGCAACAGGTTAGTATTCTAGAAGGCATCATAGGCAGGCTATACTCTCAATACCCACATTCCCCTGCTGCCCTGAGACATTGGTGGAGCTCTGAGAAATAGCTGGCTCTTCTGTTTGTGAGAACACCATGATGGGCTCTCTACCACCTCTGTTGTAATTCAGTGCTACATGTCTGAACAGCCAGGCCCGAGTGCTGTTATGTATGGGCAGAGAGGCGCTAGCTATGTCTTTTTGTCTTTCAGCTTTCAAAACGTTTTGCGTTTAGTGGCATGCTTTTGTTAAGAGCAGGTAGTAAAGCCTGGTTATGGAGTTTTTTTTACTCAAAAGTACAGATTATTGGTGGGCAAACTTTGAGGGGTAATTTATTATTGGTGAACAGGCGTAGGGTCTCTCTTTGGTAATTGCTCCCTCTAGTGGCCAGGAATAATCCATTGTCCGCCTTCTGCTTTTAGATTCTTGAACAAAATGAAAAGATATTAATATAATCTGTGCTACTGGGCCAGTAAAACCTACCTATCAATGTGCAGCTGCTATTAAAATATAGTAAAAAAAAATTTAAATTTTAAATATGACTGCGCTACAGTTTGTTTTTTCAAAATGAAAAGATAAATCCACAATCACAAAGTGCTAATTCACACAATTTGCTTCATTACAGTGCAGTGCCTGGTGTGCAGTGCAGTGCTGATCACGACACATTACACTGTTAAAATGTCAGTGTCTTTTCATTAAGTTCAGTTGGCTGCCATGTGGTGCAAAGCGGGTTGCCGCACACTGCTCTGAGCTGAAAAAAAAAAAAAATACAGCCTGCTGTTCATCTTGAAACCACTGAATCCTCCTTTCCTTTCTCTGAACTTACATTGTCTTTTTCAATATTTCTAGTTTTGCAGACTATGGTTGCATGCTGCAGATCCGCAACGTCCATTTCTTGCCTGATGGACGTTCTGTGGTCGACACTATTGGTGGAAAGAGATTTCGAGTTTTAGAAAGAGCAATGCGAGATGGTTATTTCACTGCAGACATTGAATACCTAGTCGACATTCAGGTACTTTTAAACTGCTGCTTCACCATAAGCTCTGTGATAATTATTGCAGCTAGTTTTAATGTCCGGCAGCCCCAGACAAACTGCTCTTCAACAAGGCCACTGACAGGTTCTGAGGCTACCACAAGTTGGGAGAGCTGCTAAAAAGTCCTATGCAAAGACTATGCTTTTGAAGGATTTTGATTTATGTGCAGTAGACCGTGCCAGTTTTCAATTCCCTCAAAGTTGAACTCCTGGTATAATTTAAAAGCTTGGACCAATGTAAGTATGCATAGCTCATACCTGAGGGAGCACTATGGATGCTGGAAATCACTGTAGCAGCACAGTGGCTAAATGGTTAGCACATCCACCTGGCAGTACTAGGGTCGTTGGTTCGAATCCAAACCATGGCACCACCTGCCTAGAGTTTGCATGTTCTCCCTGTGTCTGCGTGGGTTTCCTCCGGGTACTCCGGTTTCTTCCCACACTCCAAAGACATGCTGGTAGGTTAATTGGATCCTGTTTAAATTGGCCCTAGTATTTGTATGTATGAATGTGAGTTAGGGACCTTAGATTGTACATCCCTTGAGGGTTAGGGACTGATGTGAATGTACAATATATATGGAAAGCGCTGTGTAAATTGATGACGCTATACAAGTACCTTAAATAAATAAAAATAGTTGGCTTTACTACAGTGATCACCACAATCTTTTATGTCCTGAGCCCAATGGCTGCCCCTCCGCAACCTGACCACAGGGGGTTGCTCACTTGGTATCGCTGTCATTCACAGAAAGCTTTGTGTGTATATATGTTGGTGTTCTATGATTGGACAAGGTGGAGAGGAGAACTGTAGTATTTGTGGGCCTTGACAGTAATGTATAACTTTTGGAATCTATTTGATGTATAATAGTAATGTATAATGCGGTCTACTGTATTGTATTAATGTGTTTGTATTTGTGTATAATTCAGGTTGGTGCAGAGGAACTCCAGCAGCTCCAGGAGCTCCATACTGCAGTCTACTCTCAGGCCTGTCACTGGTTCCAGAATTTGAGATACAGGTTCCGGAGCCAGATACTGCATCACTTTGGCTCCATGCCGGAGAGGGAGGACAATATACAGGTTTGTCTTTGACTTTAATGTCCCACAGCACAATCTAAGCAACCACCTTGAGAGCTGATAGGTCTTTGTTTTGGGCCAGGTAGATGAAGTGGCATTAAAGGGGATGTTGTGTAGCCAATCTATAGTAAAGCATTGTGACTTCAGTTTCCTAAATACTCCCCATCTGTGGACATCATGCAACCAATACCAAGGCATTGATCAGGTGGCCAGATGTTCTATAAACATTTTTATGGCAGAGTAAATTTAGCCTGTATTAACCTTTTTTCTTTGCCGTAGCACAGAGATTATAAAAGATTGTTTCCTTAGTTTTGCTTCAGTTACTAGGCTTCAGAAATACTTCTACATTCAATGGCAGTTTTTTTTTTTTTTTTTTTTTTTTTAAACTTGCAGCTTTCTGTTTTGATCTGATACTTTAGCTCCACTATTACACCAGACAAAACCCTTTTGTCTTTTTCCTAGTTTTGGGATGGAGTTGGAAAGGGTTGGAACCCTTTCAGGGTTTACTGCTGTCCAGGGCTCCATTAGATTTCCCCTTCACTATTGTCAGCAGTACAGAATGTGTAAGAAGTGAGGGACATTCTGCAACTGAAACTACAGCACTGGGGAGAAAAAGCTGACAGGAATTTATTCCTACTCTCACCTTGTGATTAGAGATTTATCTTCACTTCCTGTTTGGTGACACCATTGTTGGTAGAACAGGCAGTGAAGGAAAATCTCTTTTAAGAGTCCCAGATAGCAATGACCCTCAACAGTGGATGCTATCCTTCCCCACTCTCTATATAGAGAGTTTTTGTATTTGGGCTGGACATAATGTCTGCCTGGATGTACAGTACTGTGCAAAAATCTTAGGCAGGTGTGAAAAATGCTGTAAATTAAGAATACTTTCAGATAAAGATGTTTTAATAATTTTTTATTCTCAAAATGGAAACTAAATTAACAGAAGAGAAATCCAAATCAAGTCAATATTAGGTGTGACCACTCTTTGCCTTCAAACACGTCATCAGTTCTTCTAGGTACACTTGCACACAGTTTTGAAGGAACTTGGGAGCTTGACAGGTTGGTTGTTCAAACATCTTGGAGAACTAAACAGTCTGTGGTTGTAGGCTGCCTCAGATCCTTCTGTCTCTTCGTAATCTCAGACAGATGAGATGATGAGATCAGTGGTCTGTGAGGGACAATCCGTTTCAGGACTCGTTCTTCTTTACATTGAAGATTAGTTTTTCTGTGGTTTCTTGGCTATTGTACTGCTGTAGAATAAATTTGGGGCCAATCACAGGCCACCGTGATGGTATGCCATAATGGTGAAGTATCTGCCTGTATTTATCTGCATTGAGGATGCCATTGATCCTGACAATCTCCAACACCATTTGCAGAAAGGTAGCCAAAAACGTGCAAGAAACCTCCATCATGCTTCACTGTTGCCTACAGACACTCATATGTGCATAGAACATGGAAACAAGGCTAAAAGACTTAGCTATGCACAAAAACATAGGAACTGCGGTGCAGAAAATTGGCAGCAGGTGCTCTGGCCTGATGAGTAAAAAGTTTAATTATTTGGCTGTAGTTAAAGGTAGTTTGTTAGCGAAGGGCTGGCGAGCAGTATGAGTGTCTGCAAGCTACTGTTAAGCATGGTGGAGGTTCCTTGCAAGTTTTGGGCTGCCTTTCCGCAAATGGAGTTGGGGCTTTGGTCAGGATCAGTGGTGTCATCAATGCTGAGAGATACAGGCAGATGATTAGCCAGCATGCCATACCATCAGGGAGGTGTGTGATGGACCCCAAATTTATTCTGCAGCAGGACAATGACCCCAAACATACAGCCAATGTCCTTAGAAACTATCTTCAGTATAAAGAACAAGGAGCCCTGGGAGTGTTGGTTTGGCCCCCACTGAACCCTGATCTCAACATCGAGTCTGTCTGGGATTACATGAAGCGAATGATTTGAGGCAGCCTACATCCAGAGGATCTGTGATTAGTTCTCCAAGATGTTTGTAACAACCAAGTTGTTGAGTCCATTCAAAACTTGTGTGCAAGTGTACTTAAAAATAAACTCCTAAACAGCATCAATTCTTTCATTTAACAAATTTTAAATGATAAAAGAATAGAAATCCAAATCAAAGATTTTTGCTCTGTACTGTACAACTTTAAACCATTAAAGCAGAACTTCACCCTAAAGGGGAAGTTCTGATTTATGCCCTCCGACAACACCCCCTTTGCACTTTTTTGGGGGAAATGGGAGTAAGTACCTGGTTTTAAAAGGTACCTGCTTCCACTTCAGGTCGGATCACCAGAAGTTCTTCTCCCCCGCCCCCCCCCCCCCCCCCCCCCACCCTGCCCACAACCTTCTGGAACATGTCATAGGTCCTGGAAGGCTGCAGGACCATTCACAAAGCGCAACACTTTGTGAATAGTCACAGCCAGCTGCCCACAGTAAACATGCCGGGGACCTGAAGACCGGCAAATAGTTTGTATGACCATGGTGCTTCAGCTCTGTGACATCTAACCTCTGGTTTCTTGTGTCATTCAGAAGCGCACTGGTTTCAGAAAATGACCGTTCATTTCTGTGCAGTAAATTGACTTCGGGGGTGGCACTCGGGGCAGAAAGCGTGCCCAAGGATGCAAGCTGCTTGCATTTACAATTGTAATCGGATAAGTGATTTATCAGACTGCAAAAGTTTTTGTGGTAGAAATACAGGATTTAGTGACATTTTGGGAAAAACTGTTTACTACAATGAAGCAGCTGTTCAAGCTGGATTCTGGGATGAGCAGTATAGTATATCTATGAATGTGAGGGACCTTTATATTGTAAGCTTGAGGGCAGTGACTGATGTGACTGTACAGTATACTGTATATGTATAAAGCACTGCATAAATTGAAAGTGCTTTATAAGTACCTTTTAATAAATACAAGAGGCATATGTATTTTTGTAGCATTGTGCAGGCAGCATGAAGAGGGCAGAGGCTGCTGATCCCCACTGTTTGCACACGCTTTGTACAGTAATGATGTCACCACTACTTTTACTAGGTAACATCTAGGTTGGCAAAGGCATTTTTGTGCACACTTCCTTTTTTTTTTTTTTTTTTTTTGTGCCTGTTAAGAAGTATATTTAAATTTTATTTTTTAGAGCCCCAAGTTGAACTTTAAATTACTACAAATACTACTTTTATCAGATTTTTGTCACTAGGAAAGCTTATAATGAAATCTGTTCTATTACATTTTCAGGTAGCCCCAAATGGACCAGCCTGGTGCTGGTGGCTTCTAGCTGTATTGCCTGTGGATCCCCGGTATCAGCTCTCAGTTCTGTCCATGAGCTCACTGCAGGATCGCCTCTTGAAAATCCAGCACATATTGACTTATTTTTCCAGGGACCAATCCAAATGACTAACCGCCTGGAGCTTCCTGAAAACTTACCCAGCCCTGCCTGTGATCACAGCTGCAGTTTTTGCTGTCTTTGCACATTTGACATTTGCTTAAGCAAATTGGACAATTGTGGATCTCCACCAGAGGGAACTACATCTTGTAAATAAGAAAAGTGTGAAATAACCTAAGGCTTTTTTTTTTTGTTACAAAATTTTGTATTGCACTATGTATAAAGGATTTTTTTATTTTTAAATATGTAAATTAACTTAGTTTATTTTGAATTGATGATACTTCCAAGTGTCTCGTGTGTTTTTTTTTTTTTTTTTTTTTTTTTTTTTTTTTTTTGCTGCTTTCAGTCCATAATGTTGTGAATGGAGATTTGTCTTTACCTGGCTCTGTTTCTATCTATGCAGTATTTGTGTCTTAGCTGTTAGCATCTTGTAAAGGATATTCCACATGTTTGTGGCAATATTCAAAGAAAAAGCATTGGACATTTAAAGGGTTTGTCTTCTAAAAATGATAAATATGTGAAATATTACCTGTTTACATTTTAAACCCTATGGGAGAACTTTACTAAAACTGGAGAGTGCAAAATATGGTGCAGCTCTGCATAGAAACCAATTGGCTTCCATATTTTATTGTCAAAGCCTACATGAACAAGCTAGCGTTAGAAGCTGATTGGCTACCATGCACAGATCAACTGGATCTCCAGTCCATGTGTTGGTTTACACAAAGTTGTAATTAATCAATGTGGTACAAAGATCATTTATTTACACACAAACAATGTGAATGGGTTGATTTGCACTCCTCAGATTGGACTGCACTAAGTGATTGTTTAGGAGGCCTGAGCCAGTATTTCAGGCTTTATCAATTTAATGGGCACTAGCAATATGACTGATCTAAATGCAAAGCTTTAGACACTGCATTGTGTTCAGGATAGACATGCAGAGGGCCTGTCTACACCGTAAGGTCTCTTCTGAATTGCTACATAAAGCAATCAGAATAAAGGCCCCTTAACTTGTCCCATGTTATGTGTTGCATTAGGGTAGCCCATTCATTTTGAATGTAAAGCAATGGACTTTCTGTGTTTGTGTGTTGGGGTGCCATTCTAAATGACACACGAGTGCCATGTGTTGTAATCACATGCCTATTGTGTAAAGCCAGCCTATGCATTTTTGTACACTGGCATCTATTGTGTTGCTGCCATGTTTGTGAAGCGTCTAAAATGCTGTAAGCAAGTGATTTGATATTGGAATGAATGGAGCAGTATTATTGGTTGATTATTACTATTAGTGCAACATTTTAATGTAGCACTAAACCCAATTAGTAAAATTTTCATATAAGCTTTAATATGTTACCCACTTACCCTTCAGAGAATTTACTCCCCTTCCTGACCAGGCCAATATTTGTGATACGGCACTGCATTGCTTTAACTGACAATTGTGTGATCATGCAACGCTGTACATAAATTTGATCACCTCCTGTGGTTTTTTTTGTTTGCGCTAGTAACAAAAAAAACTGACAATTTTGGAGAAAAAAAAATATTGCTATAAAACGTCCAAACAAAAAAAAAAAAAAAATCAAATTTCTTCATAAATTTAGGCCAAAATGTATTCTGCTACATGTGTGTTTTGCTTAAAAAAAAAAAACCCCAGTAATTGTATATTAATTGGTGTATGTGAAAGTTAGTGTCTATAAATGGTGGTGGTGTGTGTGTGTAATAAATAAATTAAAATATATATATATATACATACACATATACACTGGAATTTTTTTTTTTATACTAGTAATGGCAGCGATTGGTGACTTAGCGAGGGACTGCAGTGGGCATTCTGACACTGGGTGGGAACTGACTGCCATTGACATCCCCAGTGATGCTAATACAGTGATCAGTGCTAATAAAAAGCACTGACACTGTACTAATGGTACTGGGCAGGAAGGGGTTAACATCTGGGGTGATCAAAGGGTTAACTGTGTGCTGTTTTACTTGGGAGACATGCTGCTTTGTATTTCTGCTGTGCAGAAAGATACAAAGCAGTTTTTCCATACTGACAGGAGAGAAACCTATGTTTACACACAGGTATCTCCCATCCCCTTTACTGGTGCTTACCAAGTCACGGCTGGCAAGTGGTGACTGGGACGCAGTGCCTGACATCCACAGCAGCTATTGGCTGCATGTGTCCCCCTACCTAGAGATGCAAATCATTTGTGTGTATGTATATAATATATATACATGATTTGCGCAGCTGTGTTGCCCTGTAACAAGCGGTAAAGATGGGTTTAAAAGTTTTTACTACAGTAATATCTGCTGATCCTGCTATGATGAGCCTTGTTCAGACCAATCCTTTTATGGGGAGTCAAGTGTTTCCAAATTGTATTCCTGTGTTTATTACATCACACATCTTCCTGTAATTTACATAGCCATGTTGACCTATAGTATAGGCATGGTCAACCATTGTGGCTATCAGAAAATCTGTCCTGGTGCTGAAGTGACTGCAAGAGCCTACAGGAAATTGGCAGCAAGAGAAAGAAGGAAAAAAAGTCATCCTGAATATTGTGCTGTTGGGGTTTAGAGCTACATTAATAGTTTCTATTTTTATGTTGCACATCTTTAAAACAGTCATTTTTAAATGAAAAAGAGCCCAACAGCATGACTTGGTTGTAATTGCTTTTTCATTCTGATTGTAGTCTATGGAAGTCACAAAGGACCTCCTTAACAAAAGGAAATTTCAATTTGTTTTCTTCAAACGTTTGTAGATCATTTAAAAAAAAAAAAAAAAAAAATCCATCATGAAATGAGGGAGCTGCAACACTGACCTATTTGTGAAGGTGTTTGTTTTGAGACTGCTAGCTTTAGTCTTCCTTCACTACTTGGCAAGCCAGTGACTGGTGCCTAGTGGTATCTTCTTGATATGCACATAAATCCCATATATCGCTAAATATGAAGCAAGGATGAGGATATAAAAAGGTAAATGCTCCAGAAATATAATATAAACTGGTCAACAATAGTAGCTGCAATATTTTAAACCTGGTAAATTCCCTTTTGATGATGATCTTGCATGAACTTAATCCCATGTTAATATAGCACTTATGTGAGGATCACCCCATTTTATTTATTTATTTTTAGCTTCTGTAGGGGTTGATGAAAAGCAATTCTGATATGAGAGGGGCCTCTTAGCCACTGTGTTGCCCAGCTTGTTGGAAAATCATTGACAAAATGGTTAGTCCCGCTACTGGTGTTAACTTGATTTATAATTTGATAGCGTAGAAAAGGTGTTGGCGAAGCAGAGGACATGGATCATTTATCTGTTGCTATGCTGTCAACCTCTTTAAAGACAGGCTTTATCCACTTAATTTCTGACCCTGTGCAATAGCAAATGAAGGGTTAAAGATAAGGCAAGCTATTGAATACATCCAGTCCCTCTAAGGCTGGCCATACACTATACAATTTTATGCCCAATTTCCTTTTAGATTTACCTTCAACTATGTAGTGCAAGGGCCTGCCTAATTGGAAACAATTAAGTGTTTTGTTTAGGTTTGAGCTCATATTATATGGTTTTGGGTAAATCTTAAGTAAAATTCTCAAGAAAATTGTATAATGTATAGCCAGCCTAAGGAATGTCCACTGAAGCAAGGCACAGCATGAACGGGCGGAATCTTTTGCCAAGCAGAAATGGGGTCATTGGATTGAATCCCAACCATGGCACCACCTGCCTGGAGTTTGCATGTTCTCCCTGTGCCTGTGTGGATTTCCGCCAGGCACTCCAGTTTTCCTTCCACCCTCCAAAGACATGCTGGTAGGTTAATTAGCCCTAGTATATGAATGAATGAATGTGAGGTGCCTTAGATTGTAAGCTTCTTGAGGGCAGGGACTGATGTGAATGTACAAGATATAAGTGCTGAGCAATTTGATGGCGCTATATAAGTACCTGGAATAAATATAAAATCGCTGTGCTCCAGGGAGCTGCTAATTTCCCTTTCTGTGGCGGAAAGAAAGAGGTTATGTTCAACAGTTCGGTATATTGCAAGGTACGCTTGTGGTGGGTTCACAGGCAAGTAATGTGAAATCAAGATAAATGTTTTATCACCCTAAATGTTTTTTATGTTAATTTAAGGGAATAAAGTCAGGCTTATTCAAAGGGACATGTACTTGCTGGGTATAAGGTATACACCTGACTTCAAAAGGCTCATGCAGTTAGGGAAACCACTATGTGCACTTTCTTTTTCTACTGGTTCAACATGTTGTGAATGTTTATTGAATACAGGTCCTAGTTCATTTTTAAATGAAGTGTTATATTTGTAATCCTGTAATTCAGAAAGCAGCCTGCTCAGTCAAATCATGTAAAGATTCCAACTATTGTATCCACACAGTATAAGTACTGTGGAATTTTGTATTTCAAATGAAAGCCAAGCACAGTTTTGATTGTGTTCCATTAATAAAGTGTTAACAGTACCTAACTGGTTGCTTTTTTTTTTTTTTTCTATTTGTTTTTGATCATTTTAGTTTTGTTAGTGCCGTGAACCCTAAAATCATAATTTGTAATCTGTACAGGCCTTTGTGTGTCTAGTACTGTGCACAAAAGGAATAGTAAAGGAATCTACCTCTTTTTCAACTCTGAAGTAGAATTTTTTGACACAAACCATAATTTAAGAAAAAAAACCCAAACATGTCATACTTACCTGCTCTGTGCAGTTTTGCACAAAGCATCCCTGATTCTCCTCTTCTCGAGTCTGTTTCAACCCCACCCCTCTAAATGGCCCCCTTAGCAATGTGCTTGCTTGGGAGGCACCCGTGTGTGCTTGCTCCCAAGCCCTCTCAGCCCTGCTCCTCCTCACCGCCTGTGATTGGCAGGAGCCATCGGCTCCAAGTGCTGTATCTGAGCCAATGAGGAGGGAGAGACAATACTCTTGCACATTGCTGGATCGTGATCAGGCTCAGTTAAGTATTAGGGAGGCTGAGGGGGGAGCAGCTCACTGAAGGGTTTTTTGTTTTGTTTTTTTCCCTCCATGCATAGACGGCATAAAGGTTAAAAAAAAACAAAAAAAAAAACAACCTTCAGCCTTTAGAACCACTTTTTAATTGTTTCCCTTTACACCACTCCAGTTTCAGTATCTTTCTCTTGTTAGGTTTGTAATGATGCCATATTCCATTTTGTTATAAAGGATTCCATGGTACTTGGTAGTCTGTTCAAAGTTTGAACTTTTTTTTTTTATTTATTTTTTGTTATGGACTACACTCTGATTAGTAGCGTTGCAGAGTCAGGGGCCACCAGAACAGATGTACTGTGCGTTATGACAGCATGGGGAGAATTTACTAAAACTTGAGGGTGCAAAATCTGGTGCAGCTCTGCTTAGAAACTAATCAGCTTCCAGGTTTTATTGTCAAAGCCTAAATGAACAAGCAGAAGTTAGAAGCTGATTGGCTACCACACACAGCTGCTGCAGATTCGTAGTCCACCATAACACTATGTAATCCTCTATTTTTGACACCACCTGAAGTTATTTGGTCTGTCCACATCTTATTTCGGGGTTTCTTAGCAAAAGGAGTGGATACTTAAAGGCTGAAGCTGTGTGTTTTTGTTTTTTTTTTAACTTTCATGCATGAAGTTAAAAAACCTTCTGTGTGCTGCTCCCCCTACAGCCCCCCTTAGCCTCTTCACATCGGCCTCACACAAATGTGCGGCCTCCCGGCGTCTGGGCCTAGACGCCGAGCAGACGCTCATTTGTGTGCAATTAAGAGAAACCTATGTGCTGAGAGCGCGCGCCCTGAATGCTCCCAGCACACATGTCCGGTACTCACAGAAATGTCCCAATCTTCTCTCTCGATTTGGGACCTTTCCCGATCATGTGACGGCAAATCACGGCGGTCACATGACCCTAAAACCCCGGCTTCTGAAACCCTTAAAGGGCTGGGAGGCGCCGGAGCCAAGGGATTAATACTCACCTGAGCCCCCTCTCAATCCAGTGATGTGCATGAGAGCCTCGGCTGGCCTGAGACTCCCTCTCCTCATTGGCTGAGAAAACAGGAGAAACTGGCTCCCACTGCTATCAATCACATCCAGTGAGCCAATGAAGAGAGAGTGGGGCCAAGCCATAGCTTTGTGTCTAATGGATGCAGAGAGCTGGGCTTCAGAAGTAAGCATGCATCAGTGCCACTATAGCAAGCAGCTTGCTACTGGGGGCACTGGTCAAGGGGGTAGATCTAGATATTCTTCATTTCATTGTTCACATTTGATAGTGTCATCCATAATGTAAATTCAAAGAAAAACTAAAGATCATAAAAAGAATGGACAGCATACTATAATAAAAAAATACTAATTCAGAGCAAAATAAAATCGCTAAATGGCTGTGCCAGGAAGACATTTGGGAATCTCTATCATTATCCATTCAAGTCTATGGGAACTATATCTTGCATAAATTGTTTAATTTCTTGTTAAGGTCTGGCATTTTTTGCTAATAGACAAACTATTGTCAAAGAAGGGCATAGGGAGCTGTGCACTGCTATGGGGGACATCTAATACAGCAAAAAATGTTTTAAAAACACTGTACTGCAAGGAGAGTGTCCTTTTAAGGGCTACATGGAAAAATCACGAATCCTTTAAATTATATGCTTGAGAGATGTCTTTGTGTATGTGGTGCTATGGAATGATTTTTAAAGGCACTCTATTCTAGCATCACATATATTAGATGTGCAACTGATGTTTAATTTTTACATTTAGCTTTGCTTAATTACAGCAGCATCTCACTCTAATTAACTTCAACTTGCAAAAAAGGGCTTTTTTTTTTATTACATAATTTTTGCTCTGACATCTGATTTTTTTTTTTTTTTTATCAAGCAGTTAGAGGCCTGAATTGACCAGTGGAACTAGCAGCCTCAACAGATGTGAAAGCTTTAGGAAAGTTTCCTCTTAACGAAATCTAAAGCTCTCAACTTCATTCAAATTGGCAAGTGACAA